TAAAACTGGAGAAATATGATCTCTCCTTCCAACTCTCATTAAAACTCTAGCAGCAGCATTTTGGATTAACTGAAGACTTCTTAACAAGGTTTTTTTGGATGTCCAGATAATAAAGAATTACAGTAATCAGCCTAGACGTGATAAATGCATGAATCAGTTTTTCTGCGTCATTTTTGGACAAAATATTTCTAATTTTAGTGATATTATGCAGGTGGAAGAAGACACGTTCTGATCAAAAATAACACCAAGGTTCTTTACATTAGAACTGGAGGCCAGATTAATGTCATCCAGAGGAGGTGAAAGGCTGCAAAGTTGATCCCTAAGATGTTCAGGTCCGAGAACCATAACCTCTGTCTTATCTGAGTTAAGAAGCAGGAAGTTAAGAGTCATCCCGGTTTTTATGTCGTTAAGACATGCTTGTAGTTTAAGTAACTGGTTGGATTCATCAGGTTTCATGGATAAATATAACTGAGTATCATCAGCATAATGAACATTTATCTCGTGCTGTTTAATAACTTTATCTAATAGAAGCACTAAAGTAAAGAGGATTGGTCCAAGCACTGAACCCTGAGGAACTCCATGACTAACTCTGGTGTAAGAAGAAGATTCATTATTAATATTAACCAACTGGAATCTGTCAATTAAATATGACTTAAACCATTTTAGAGCTGTTCMTGTAATTGATCATAGGGGTTGTGCAAATGTTAGAAAAATAGCCAAGGGGTTCAAGGTGAATTTATGTCACTATCTGGTTGGATGATCTGCCACATTTTGGATCATGATGTGGAAGAAAACCCAGCCAATATCGGGAGAAAAACCTACAAAAAAAACCAAAAAACAAACTGGAATTCACTAAAATGCATGTTGACAAACCTCAAAGTTTCTGGGACTGATGAGAATAAACTGGAGTGTTTTGGCTGCAGTCACATCACTTGTGTTTCTTTGATTGTTGTGGAAATACATGTTGTTCCAAGTATATACAGACGGGCTGAAACCAGGAGAAAAATACAAGGATAAAAAAAGAGAGACACGGACACTTTTTACAAAAAAAAAAAAGTGGCATGAATGAGCAGAGAATTTTCTGAAAAAAAGGCTAACTTCTGAAGGCCTCATTTAATCATTATGTCACATGTCATAAATATGCATTCATTTAGCTGCTGGCAAAGAAATCCATGCAGAAATGTTCAACCCAGCAGCTCTCCTCTGCTTTTACCAAACACACAAGCTGAATGCCCTCGTGATTTGACTCCGTCTTCCTCTCTCATCTATAATGAGACATCCTCAGCGAGGATGTCCACTCCATCCACTCGCCTTAATTTTACAGAAGTTCAAGTCTTCTGAACTTGAACCTCAAGGATCACTCTCACACCAACAAGCCCTTGGCCTCAACAGCAGCAGATCATTAAGCAACAAATCCACTTCTTTTCATTYGAGACATTATTTTTATGCTGCTCGTGACAAATCCCAACTGCTCATTCATCCTAACACCTCAAATACCACGCTGTTGGATCAGTCGGAACAAAACGGACCATCTGACAACTTGTTGGCGCCGTCGACRGAGCCTAAGCTTTGGCTTGAACGTCTAAATCGCGACATCCTTAACAGTTGTGGCAGATCCTGCCTGGAGGCCCCCAGAGGAACAGAGGGGGATTCTTTATGAGTCTGGCAGGTGCAGAACATGGCGAAGACCCAAACTCGTCAGCACCGAATGATGGCTGAGCGGCTGCGCTTGGCAGGGGAGGAACTGTATCACATATAGAACGAAGGCCCCCCCATTCCTCACTGGCAGTGATATAGCACACTAATGTAAGAGAGGGAGGGCTTATCTGCTGCTAAATAATACAGAGAGGGGAGGTTAGGGGAGAAAGGAGAAAGCAAGAAAAGACAGATAAGAGAAACTCGATCTGTGGAGCCATTTAGAAATGTTTTCAAAATGATACCCGAGTCCACTGATGCGCTGTAGTGATACAGAGGTGGATGAGTTCTCATATCAGCTGTTGGTGTTAGAGTGGAATAAAGAAGTGAAGTTCAGGCTTCAGTCAGAGAGCAATTGAGACATCTTCACATCAAGCCTCTGGTTAGGGGTTGTTGTAAGGCCCCCGTTAAAACCTACAAATTAAAACAAGGTTGTCTCCATTWGTTATTGTCAAAGATTTAAGCCAAAATTTGTACAACAAATATATACAACAAATGAAATCTTAGAACCCATAGTTAGACTCTACAACAGGGCCTACAAAATTCATAAAAACTTCCTGGTTGGACTCATCAYTGTACAGTTCTTTCATTGTCTGATGCCTTGACTTTTCAGAATTATGTTTTGTATAGTGGTATTAATTTATATTTTCAGATCTTCCAAGGTGCCAATTATGGAACTCTCTGTGCATTGTTGTCCAAATCAAATTCTGGAAGTGGTCATTCAACTAGATCTGTTACAAAAGGACAACTGACATTACCAACTTTTAAAAATTGTTACGGCCAGAGRTCTTTCTTCTATGTTTATACTAAAGCATGGAATGACATTCCTCAAAACATAAAGTCCATTTCAAAACYACAGCCCTTTAAGAAGAATCTTGTCTGCCATCTGCTGGACACTTTTTGTTGTGCTCATATTTAGACGTCCTATTTTGCAAATGCTGCCTTCCTGAAATTTGGTATGCTTGTTTGTCTTTGTGTCTATGGTGTATAATGATGTGATTGTGATGCTGTAWTTCTGAGTGTTTTATGTGCTGCAGAACATGAACCTGCTGTAAAACAGCAATTATGCTGAGTCAGGCTTGATTTTTAGTAATCTTTTCCTGTTGAATCAATAAATCAAATCAATATGTGTGTTGGGAATGACTTTCAGCTATGTTTTAGACTATATCAGTAGCTCTGTTTCCATTACAAATGTGCACAAAACTATGTCGATATTCTGTTAATGTCGAAAAACAGTTTCACAATTGTGTGTTTCCATTAAGTAAGAAATGCTCTTAAATTCACGCGTGAATATGTTTGTTCTCGTGATAAATCACTACAAACATAGTGGCAATGGATGTAAACACATAGCATGTTGCTACCACAACACTAGCGCTCATCATCAGAGGAGATGTCGGCGTCTTATCGAGGCTTTCGAGCAACAAGCCCCTCACACTTGGGAGCGACTACATACATGTATGCTGCGTATTTGGGAAATTGTATTCGGTGAGTTTACTACTTTCTTTTACAACTTCGGTGATTTTACTACTACTTCTACTTTCTGTTGTCTTCTTCTTCGTCGTCTTTTTCGCCACTAGAAACAGCCGGTTGTTGATCACATGACTCCCGTGATGCGAAAAAAGTATTTCCATTGCAGTTTTAGGAAACACACCAATTTCGATACGGCCGAAAAACCACTTCATCCTAGCTCAAAACCATTTTGTTGCAAAATGTACGTTTTTTCGAAATTGACGTGTTTCCATCGAGCAAATTTATTTTCCAAGTTCTAATTTGTGCATTTTCATGGTCAATGGAAATGTAACTAATTAAAATGGGTAAATTATAGACGTATTTTTGTTTCATAAAATCAGTTGGCTGTGATGGACATCTTCAATTGGAATAGCTTCAAAAGCTGACGAC